CAAAGCAAGGAGCAGGCGCCCCTCGCCCCCATCCCAAGGCAGCAGCCGCAGAGAACCGCGGTGTGCCCCCGCGCGTGTGACCTTGGGCTTCTTTACCACCCCAGATACGACGACTACCACCACGAGCGCTGGCACAGGGTCCATCCCGCCATGGCAACAGCAGCAGGCGGCTGCCGCAGCTTCTCCAGGAGCCCCTCAGATGCAAGGCAACCCCACTATGGTGCCCCTGCCACCTGGTTCCGCCGGCATGATGTATGCCCCACCTCCCCCTCCTCCGCCTCCCATGGACCCTTCTAACTTTGTCACCATGATGGGCATGGGGGTGGCAGGCATGCCGCCCTTCGGGATGCCTCCAGCTCCCCCACCGCCTCCACCACAGAACTAGACTCGGTTTTTTAAGAAAATATATATATTATATAGAGAGAATTGGTCTTGTTTAAACACACGCCGAACCTCACCATATGGAGCCAGACATTGGGACGCACGCATGTGATTGTGTGCACGCATGTGTGTGTGTGCACGCACCGGGCTGGGCCAAGCGACTGAGGACGGGCAGGTGGTAGTAGGGGCGCCAGCTTGGGCTTTCCTGGCGCCCCGTAGCATCGAGTGTCTTCTTTGTCTTCTTTCTCTCCTCACCCAACTCCCTTTGCCTCTCCCCAAACCGGGCCGCCAGGATCCCTCCCCGCAGCAGCGATGGCCCGAGCCATGAGAGTGAGGACTTTCCGCACCCATTGGTGACCCTTCCAGGCAGACAGCCTCAGCAGCGCCCCTGGTGGACAGGATGGTTCGGCAAAGCAGCCTGAGTTATTTTTGTGGACGGAATCGGAACACGCTGGCTCCATATTGTGAAATTTTTATTAATTTTTTTCTTTTTCCTTTGTTATTTCCTTATCTCTTCCTTTCTTCAGACTCCGTCCAAGGAGATGCTCTCCCCGGTCTTCTGCTGCAATCAGATTACTTTGCCTTTTCTCCATTCCTCATTCTTCTCTTTCCAAGGAGAGAGGAGCAAATGGTTTTAGGCCAAGGCCTTGGCCACTAATGTCAGGCTAGTTTGGACAGGGGTGTCCCTTTGGTTCTAAGATTTCCAAGGTGCCATCGCCACCCCAAGATTATTACTATTTTTTTTAAGTGTGGAATTTTGTGTCTGCTACCCTCATAGAGTAGTGGCTTAATCTCCAGGTCCGGGATTCATGTCCATCCTGACACCCTGCCAGCAGTAGGTGTGGCTGCCCAAGCCACCTTGGGCTTGTCTGCCAGACCAGGTCGTTTCCATGTTCCTGAGCACCTAAGCTGCCTCATATTCCATTTGTTCCTCTCCTTCCTGGAAGGCTTCCTTTTAAATTTTCTTTTGATTCCAAATGTCTGGATGTTTTGCAGTGTCTAGGGTGTTGAGCCCCTTGTTTTTTTCGTTCTGCTCCCCCACCCCATCCCTTTTCATGGAGTGATTATGTTGACAATAATGTATAATGCGCGTTCTCTTCACTGGTTTATCTGCAGAAATTTCTCTGGGCTTTTTTTTTTTCCAGTGTATGATTCAACACTGCGTTAAAGGGGGATGTTCCATTGAATAAAAGAGCAGTGTGGTTTTCTGGGTCTGTTTCTTTATTTTCTCTTAAGCCCTCTCCCCCCATTATCAGCAGCGCTGGTTACCTGTTCCCACAGGTAGCACCTGGCCCCTGGGAACCTGTGGGACATTCGCTAAGGAAGCCGCCCCCCTGCCTGCCTGTGGGTTTGCTGGTGGAAGTGGAGTATGTGGGGAGCCCCCCACCCTCCCCCTGTGTATAGTTAACAGCTGAGAAACCACACTCTCCCCCTCCCTGGTGACCGGCCCCTCATCCCTCTGGTCCATGTCCTTTTGAAGACATTTCCCTGGGGCTCAGACCCCCCACATTTGCAGAGCTCCAGTTGTGATTTGTGCCTGAAAGCTGCCACCTGACTACGGCCCTGGGCCTAGGAGGCATCAGTACTAAAGGTCAAGCCAACTAATCCTGCCTGTCAGGCACAGAGCAGCTAAAATTAAAATTGCCAAGTGGCTTTTCTTGCTCTGCTGGTGACTTGCAGCCTGCCAGCACTGCAGGCTTTGGGGGGTGGTGGGGGCAAGAGAACGTGCCCACCTTGTGCTTCGTAAGCACTTCTTTGCAAAGGGTCTTAGCCTGCTTTTTTCTTTCATGTCTGGACAGTACCATTGTGGCACTGGAAAAATCCATGTCCAGTCTCCGTGAGGTCGTGAGGTCCCATCCCTGCACTGCCCCTGGGAGAGCTGTGTTAGAGCTGGCCCTTCCCGGGCTGGCTTTCCTTCAGAGAGGCTAAGGGACAACAAGCTCCTGCCACTCCCAGCACCTGACCACTGGGGACAACAACTCCGGCCTGGGCTGTATTCCAGCTTCAAACGGGAGCTGGCCACTGCTGTTGATCTGGAGCAAAGCCTGGGTGTCTGTCCTTTACTGTAGGCTCCGGGGCTTAACGAAGCTTCAGAAAGTTCAGTAGGTCCCCTAAACCTTGGTTGACTGAAAGGAGAGGGGGGGAAATCTGTCCTTAACTGATGGAATGGAGGCGGCTCGGGCCTGGCTACCCTCTTTGACCTTGGCTTCACCTCATTGCTTCCCCCACAAGCTCGGTTTCCCTGGTGGGCTCATTGGGCGGTTAATTAGCTCTTTGAAGCTCTGAAAGAGGCAAAGTGGCGCTATGTGGGTTTTAGAAATAAAATCAATAAACGACTTAACCACAGCCCAGCTATCTCCTCTGTCTCCCCTGGGGCCAGCTCCATTCCTGTGCTCGCTTCTCCTCTGCTCCCTGCCGTCAGCTTTTGTTAAGGTTTGGAGAGTAACAAAGTGGCTGACGAAGGCATCCGTCGTGGGCCTTTCTCCAAGCAGCTCTAGACCCTGAAATGGAAGCGAGACAACGGGAAGGCTTGGCTTTCAGAATGGCAGCGAGCCACCTGCCTTTGTGGCTGGATGGGAGAGATGTGGACTGCTCCCCTTCCCCCCGCTCCTGGAGACATCCTAGGTGGGAAAGGCCTCCTGTGTGGCCCTATTGTTACAGAGGACCAGCCACCCCTTGTTCCTGTCTGTGCCGCATCTCCCCACCCTCCCAAAAGCTTGGTGGGTGAAAGGAATGCCAGTTGGGAAAGGTCAGTGTTAGGGCTCTGTTACTGAGAGCCAGCCAAGTGCTCTGGAGAAACCCAAGATTGGTCCAGGGAAGGAGGCAGGATTTCTGATGAGAAACCTGGTCAGACATAAATAACCTTGAATTAGTTCAGGTTGGAAAACGTGCTTTCAGGATTCTTTAAAATAAATGCACATGCAACACCAGGGAGAGAATGAGCAGGGAGAAAGAACAGTGAAATGAGAAGCAGGGCCGCTTGAGCCTGGGTTTCATGCTGCTGGGTTGGGGCATCAAAGGAAAAAAGCTTGGAAACTGAGTTGGAGGCCACTGACAAAGACTGAAAAATCCACAAGAAAGGCAGTTAAATGAGAAGGACATTCGGTACCCAGCCGCTGTGGCTCATGTACCAGGAGGTCACAGGGCACATGCCTGGGTTGTAGGCTCAGTTCCCAGTAGGGGGCGTGCAGGAGGCAGCCCATCAATGTTTCTCATCAGTGTTTCTCCCTTTCTCTGAAATCATTAAAAACATTTAAAAATACATGTTACTGATTTCAGAGAGGGGGAGAGAGAGAGAAAGAAACATCAATGATGAGAAAGAATCCTCAGTCAGCTGCCTCCTGCACGCCCCACACTGGGGGTCAAACCCACAACCCGGACCTATCCCCTGACCGGGAATCGAACCATAATCTCCTGACTCAGGTTGATGCTCAACCACTGAGCCACGCCAGCCAGGCAATAACATTGTTTAAAGGTGCATCTGTTTTCCAGTAGAAACGGTATGTCCCAGTTCAAGTGCCTTGACTGCAGGGGAAGGGTGAGCACTGAATTGATAAGAGGGCTGTGGGCCAACTGCTAGAAAAGGATTGAATGAATTTGGGAGCTGAATAAAAAGATGGGAGTGGTCTGGCATTGCCAGTGTTGCCCGATTGGGCATAGTGCTACACACCAAAAAGCTGCCAGTTCGATTCCATCTCGGGGCACATGCCTGGGTTGCAGGCTTGATCCCTTGTAGAGGGCATGTAGCAGACAACAGATCAATGGTTCACTCTCATTCTGAAAATCAAAAATATTTATAAAAAAAAAAAAAAAGGATGGGAATAGCCCTGCCTAGTTTTGTTCAGTAGGTAGAGCTTCAGCCCTTGGTCTGAAGAGTCACAGGTTTGATTCCTGGTCAAGAGCACATACCTCGGTTGCAGGTTCAAACCCTGGCCCCAGTTGGTTGCGGCGCCAGTGGGAGGCAACCAATGGATGTGTTTCTAATGTTTCCTCTCTTTCTCCCCCTGCCCCCGCCCTTCCACTCTAAAAATCAATGGAAAAAATATCCTCACTCCTCTGGTGAGGATTTTAAAAAAAGATGGGAGTGGTCTGTTGGGAGCCAGTCCTTAGTGGCAGGAAAAAGTCTTACAGGCAATTAAGGGTCAGTATAAAGTTTCATGTCGCCAAAGCGTGCTGCCACAGTTGGGGTGTGGTGAGAGCACACATAACTGGTGTGCTCTGCTCGGACCAGCCCTCCACAGAAAGGGCAGGCGAGCGAGAGGCCTGGGGGAGGTGGGGTGGAGCTGAGCAGAGGCACGCACAGGAGGCTGAGAAGAGACCAGAGTGCCGCCAAGCATTCCTATTGGAAATAGAAGACCTAGAAGAAGACAGGTCTTGCCTGGCCGGTTTGGCTCAGTGGATAGAGTGTCTGGCCTGCAGACTGAAGGGTCCCAGGTTTGATTCTGGTGAAGGGCACATGCCTGGGTTGCAGGCTTGATCCCCAGTAGGGGGAGTGCAGGAGGCAGCTGATCCATGAATCTCATCATTGATGTTTCTATCTCCCTCTCCCTTTCTCTCTGAAGTCAATAAAAATATATTAAAAGTCTGAATAAAAGTTATTTAAACAAAGAAAACAGGTCTTTTCTTTGGGACCTTTTCCTCCACTGTGAAGCATGGCACTATGGAGGACCAGCATGGTAATGCCATCTTGGGGAATGGGCAGAGCAGGGCTTGGGTGTCAGAGGCCTGGACTTGGCATTTGGCCCAGCACTGAGCTATGATTCCCGGGCTAGGCCTGCTGTGGGTCAGAAGGTCCTCAGGAAGAGCTCGCCTTCCCCTGAACCAGGCTCCCTGTAGCATCCTGCAGGTGTCCAGGCCTCTGACCTTCCTTGGTCAGACAGAACACCCAGTTCCTCCTCCCTGTCCCCCAGCCCACCGGCCTGCAACCCAGGAGGCCCAGGCAGCCTTTGAAATAACGCAAGGCCCTGGGCTCCCTTCGCTTAAAGAAGAAAGCAGAATCCAGTCAGCTTCCACAGTGCAAGGCTCAGAGAAGTAAAGCTCCCAGCCTGAGGACACGCAGCAAATCCGCGCTGGGGTCAGTCCCTGCGCAGGTAATTGGGGGCAGTCAAAGCCTCCGGAGGAAGATGAATGGTGTGAAGTCCCTGGGGTGCAGGGGCTTCCGTTTTACAAGTGAAGTCATAGCTGTGAATCCTGGACCACTAAGTCCTTGTCCAGTGGGTGGCCCAGGTGGGAGGGGTGAGTGGGAGAAGGCCTCCAATCACCTAGCAGCTGCATCACAGGAAGACCTAATACCATTGGCCAATATTGGGGGCGGGGGGGGGGGCGGGGGGAGTATGCTTCAGTTTCTCCTACCCCTATGGGCCCACAGGACTACAGTTCCCAGGGGCCCCTGCTCCAGGCTGTTGGCCCCTAGGCAAAGTTGGCCTGTAATCTGACCATTCTCGAAAGGTCACTTCAGAGCTCCTTGAGAGACAGCAACAGGGGGAGATCAGCTTGAGTGGGGGTGGGGGTGGGATGGGGATAGTGGCCCTGCCTCGGGTGACATCCCCCATACCACCCCCTGAAACTCGGGGTCCTCATCTCCCTTTTCTTGAGACACCAGTGTCCTCTGCTAGCTGCACCTCTTCTGTTTGGGGCACACTGACTCTCAACTCCTGGCCCTTCAGCCTGAGGTGGGGAAGGGGGCCTTGTCCCCTTTTGCCACAATGTGTGGCCTTCCCACCAGAGTGCAGATAACAATACCCCCCAGTGTGGCCACTGTGGAAGCTTGACCAGAGGTCATTCAGCCTGTGGCTTGCAGTCTCTTTGGGTAAATGTCTAAAGCAGACCAGGCTGGCCCTAACTGGTTTGGCTCATTGGATTAGAGCTTCAGCCTGCGGACTGAAGGGTCCTGGGTTCAATTCCAGTCAAGGGCATTTAAAAAATAATAATAATAATAATAATAAATAAATAAAGCAAACCATGCTGCTCATGAAGGCTAGGCCTCCTGACATGTGCCCACTTGACAGCCCCCTCAGACTCTCCTGATTGACAGCCCACAATCCAGCCCCACCCTTCATCTGGTCCCAGGAAAAGGACCAGATCCAGGCAACCTCTTAACCCAAGGTCACAGCCCCTGGGCTCCAGGCGAACCTCGGGCCTCTCGAGCCAGCACTCGCCTGCTGCATCTTGTTTCTGACCCTGCGGAAGGCAAGACAGAGACCCCAGT